TTTTTTTTTCATTATTATTTTTATTATTATTATTATTATTTCCTCTACACCGCACACATGCATCAAGTGTTTCAAGCCAAGCCAGTTCCACTTGATTTGTTTTTAGACCTTCTCTCGTCGCATGTTATGTGCAAAAAGGTGCTTGCAAGTGAACTTTTTTTTTTTTTTTGTTTTTGTTTGTACTTTGCTTTTATTATTTAATATAAGGATAGACTAAAAATATTCTCCCTTTGCGTCCTTTTATCTGCGTCGTTCGTTTGCCATCCTTTGCTCTTTTAACCACTTGAAATATTTATTTTAATATTACCTCAGAGATTTCAGCCAATAACATGCATAACCCTCTCTTAGGGTTTATCGGTAAACAGCAGCAGCAGCAGCAGCAGCAGCACAAAAACAAACAAATAAACATGTGACACCTTCGCTGCGCCATGTTTATTTTTGTCCCTTGTCGTCATCATTATAGCCTTTTTTTTTTCGCTGTCAGCAAAATAGGCTCTCATTTCCTGTCGTTGAATGCTTTTATATGAGTGCATTAAGTGCACTACGAAGTCAGGTAGAGTGTGGAAAAGCCACGATAAAACTTAATTAAAAAAAAAAGAAAAAAAAAAAAACAAAATAAATCATATAAGCATATTAACCGCTAGATAGATCTTTCGGTGCCGATATGGAAAAACTAAAATTTCGCTTTTATATATATATACATATATGTATATATGTATATTGCAGCGTGCATTTGTTGGCACCATGAAGACAATCTTTGAAAGTAAAAATATATTCCTGATCAACGAATTATATATAGAATTAACCAACAGTCTCGCCTATTTATTTTGAAAATTTGTGTCTTACAAATTATCATTACTTTTCTTCTTCTTCGTCTTCTTCGTCTTCTACTTTTTTTATTTTTTATTTTTTTTTGTTTTTGTACAATTTTCAGCCCGTAAAATATTGTATATTGCATTTACCTGTAAAGCTCGTAAAGTCAATCAAGAATATTTCAAGCATGAGACGATGCGACAAATTATCTGTTGCTGACCCACTAAATACCTCTGAAGAAAGTGAAGATATCTCAAAGAAAGCTGAAAGAAGCTTGCGAGTTATGTATCGGTTTCGTTAGTCGAAATTTATCTCGAAAAAATAATGAGAAAATAAGGGACAAATTTAACGTTTGCTTGTTTACAACAATAACAAAATTATATAAAATTTTTAATAAAATGAAATGAAAAAAAATAAAATCTTCGGTCAACTTCGAATTTTAATATGTATATTTAGAGAACAACATATTACTTTAATGCATAATGCCAAGCAAACCTAATTATACCCTACATCGTTTATAGTACAGGATGCATTAAGTTAGTGCGGTCGTGTGTAATACGCAGAAGGACTTAAAATGCACCCAACCCTTTTATTATACCTAACGATTCAGAATCATAATCTGAATTGATCTAAGGCTGTCTGTCCGTGTATCCGTCTAATGTCTGTCCATACACAAATGTGTTCAAGCTCCAGATAGCAATTTTTGAGATATTTTGATGATATTTGTTACAGTGACGTGTTTTGACCCAAGGACGCATGAAACATTGTTTTGATAATGTTTCGGATCTGTCCACTTTTTCGTCGTACTTTATGTACTACAGAACTAATTCTCACAGTTTTTAATTCGGATAAAACATCTTAGAGCGGACTGACTTTTAAATCGATACCGTGGTTAAATTAAGTTTGCCTTGATCCGGGCAATCAAAAGTTTGTTGCCACAATTTTCATGCTGTCGCAAACCTTACGAATACTATATATGTATAAAAATATATATGTATATAGATTAACTCATCACCATTCCGTTCAGCCTATTTTTGCGTTTTCGGTTTCTATGGATTCCGTCTACGCATCCAATTACATTAACAAATGTTAGGAGTATTTCAACCATGGCTTTTTGTACAACAATGCAGCACAACAAGAAGTCACTCACACCAATTTTCCCCGAGATGTGTATGAAAGATGTCTCTGTGCAAACACACAATGTAACAATTTTAATTTACATTGCTGACAAATATATAATAAATTTTACTTATACATAAGAGGATTTAAGGCGTCCCGCAGAGCCTTACCGTTCTCCGCCAATCTCAATGTTCCGCAACAGCCAAATAACATAAAAGTGGGCAAAGGAATAACACCGCCTGATACGTATACAAAATCATTTCTCAGCATTACTTGACTACTTAATAACAACAACATCTTCATTAATCATTTCTTTTCTTTGACTTAACGGTAAAATGGATTAGGCCTGTTGGCGATAAGACCACTATATATGATGATATAATGAGTTTTTATTATTTGTTGCAAAAAAAAAGGGACGAAGTGGTCGTAAAAGCGTTCTGGTACCATTCAGTTTCCAATAAGAATCGTCGCTGAGAAAACTACGTCGGTGTATGAAATTTCATCAAAATATCTTAAAGATTGCAAACCGTATGTTAAACATAAAAATACACAATATGGACAGACAGATGGGCATGCGTCAATCGAAACTTTGTATACTTTCCGCGTGATGAGTGATGTATTATATTGAATGAATTTTACGTAACACTTGCTTATAATAATGAATGACTAATGAATTATTCTTTATTTTCTTGTAATATAAAAATGATTTTTAGAAAATGATGAAAAGTTTCAAAAAATGTTATTCTTCTTCTTGTTTTTGTTCTTCTTCTTCTTATATTATAAATTGAAATAAATAAAAAAATTATATAAATTTTATTAATAACTTATGGAAGTTTTTCAGGCAAGTTTAAAGCAAATAAAGTGAACTTGTAAAGCAAAGAGAAGGGCTACGTCTTACATAAATTAATGCCGTATTCGTGTAAAATCAATCAAAAATTCCCTTGAATTTATTCCCGTTTTCGCAAACATTTTGTTCCATTGAGGTGAAGCCTTTTTGCCTGTTCGAAGCAATATCCGGGAAAATAATACAAATGAATCAAAAAGCTTTTGAAACTTAAGCACATTTTACAATGATGAGCTTTTCTTCTATCAGCTTGCACTTCCTTCCTAATAAGCAAGCGAAGATAGTATGATTCAAGGGGACTTGGGACGAAAATCTATATGATATCCGAGTTCAACAATAGTTTCATTTTTTTTTTAACGTTAAACAAATGCACACAACCCGTCATACGTGGAGAATTTGATTCGTAAATATCTCTTGTGGATCCCTTCAGAAGAATGAAATGAATTTTTTTCACTTCTAGACATGCTTCTCATAATACAATTTTCATATAATGAACTGAATAAAAAATAAAAGAAAAAAAAAAAAAAAAAAAAAAAAAAAAAAAAAAATGAAAAAAACACTCTTTAAAATTAAATTTTAAGCAACATTTTAATTTTAATACCTGAATAATGTTTTAGGCTTTCGTATATACATCATCAATATATAGCATCAGATTAACACTAACTAATAACAAAGGAAGTTTTAAGAAACTTACTTATATAGTTTGTAATAAAAGTTTTTTTTATATACATATATTTTTGTATGTATATATATATATATATGTATATATATAGTATATAGTAAGTTTTTATCTTCTTAGTAGATCAGATTTATTTATGGTAAACTACTTCCCCATTAAATAAACCACGGTTGTAGCAACTTTTTGATGAGTTCATAGACCACATAGTAATTGTATGTGGTTGAGATGATCTAAATTTTGAAACATTGCCAAGAAAAATCTATTATGCAATAACTTTAAATGAATTCATTTTATGTGCATTCTACTTACACCTACGTCTGTTATAAATGAAAACTGGCCTAGGGATTGCAATAAGTACAAATAAGATGAAAAAAAACAAAAAAATATATATATATAAAAATAAAAAAATAAAAAAAAACATTGCCCGTAAGTTCTGTAAGCAAATAAAATGCTCAATTAATTTTGCCACCACAACTCAATGATTTATACTAGCAGCAGATGATGTAATATATGATTGCTAAACAAATCAACAAGTTTTCAGGAACTGTTTAATTGGTAGCCAAATATGGTCGATTTTTATATATATATATACAGATCGTCTAAATACAAAAATTCTGCTCTTGCAAGCGCGAAATTTTTCTATTATTAGCGTATGTATTTTATGCATACACAGTCCGTAGGAAATATCGTTCAAATCAATGTCACCATCTTTTTCGCGCTGGCTGCCATTTATCTTCGCTCTATCGAAATACAAAAATCGTACCACAATTTCCCCTTTATACGTCTTATTGCCTATTATGTGTGCGGCTATGTTGATAATTGGTGTGTTGGAACGCTCGGTAATAGAGCAAGTGCTTGTGTGTTGCAACTTCCGCTTAACGGAATTCATTTGTTATTTGCTGAAAGATATCTTTTTTTTTTTTTTTTTTTTTATATTTTCTGCTTTCGTTTGTTCTTCGTTGCCCTGCAACTGTGTGTGTGTGTGTATGTGTGTGTGTGTGTGTGTGTATGCCTATGAGCGTGTAAACAACATGTGTTGTTTTGCTCTAACTTGTCTTCCCACTCCCCCAATAGACTACAACTACCTACTCATTCACTTCTCTCTCACCCTCACCCAGCGAGTGGTGCTCATACCTAAACACATTCCCGCATCCGTATACACTTATGTGTCATAATTCAGTTATGTTAACATATATTTTTTCCACTACGTTCGAATACTTCTTGAAAAAACAACAACAACAATCACAAAAAAAACAATATTGTTGCAAATTTTTCCCTCTTTTTTTTTTGCTTTGTTTTTTGCCTGGTGTTCATTTTTGAGGCGGTTTTGACAATTTTGAGCCGGAAAAAAATTGAAAAAAGAGAAAAAAAAAAAAGGTTGAAACATAAGCGAAGGATTAAAAGGACACCAGAAGTTTTTTTCTAATCAAGTTTTTGTTATCGTTTTTTATCTTCTTTTTTGATTACATTTTTCGATAGCTAAGGACAAATGATATTAATTTTGTTTATTGTTGTTATTGTTATTGTTGTACATTTTATTCTCAGAAACTCCACTATGGCTTCTTTTGCAAGTGGCACCCATACGCAACGAACGGGATTTGGTTGTATTATTTTTGCTCACATTTCGCGACATTACCGCCTTAAAGCAACCAATCGACAGCGAGGATACCAAGGGTGGTAAGTATTCTTTAGTTTAGAAAAATCTATTTAAAAATTTCTCCCTATCTATTCTCTTAACTAATAGATTTCTATATATATATATATATATATATATATATATATATATATATGGCTTGCATGGATTGTTATCAATATTTTAGTGACGCATGCTATAGATCGATTTGTATCGTAATTAATGTTATATTATTGCCATCGTTTATAAATATGCTTTCAGGATATCGTTGAATTTATTTTCATTGGACTAAATTGTGAAAGCATTTTAAACGAAAAGAATCGACCGTCTGCCTGCTTTCTTTGCAATTTTCACGCTACGATTAACATTAACATTTATGGCCGATAAGAGCAGATGATAACGCGACCAAGATAATTGCATAAAACAATTTTTAAACGTAAACAAATCTCTTCATTCAGAACGCCCCTCGCTGAACTTTCCTGAACTATCTATATTGATACCAAACCAACTATCGTAAGGCCAACAGTTTGTGGTGCTGCTTAATCCCTAAAAGTGACGCATTGTCGAAAGATTGTCATGAAATAATCCTTTCGCTCCTCGCATGCGGTGACTTAAACCTTCCTATCAAATGCTCAGTAGCTGAAGCAATTAACAGAGCGGTTAACTAGTTGGGTTTTTCCTTTTTTTTTTTTTTTTGATCAAAGACCTTTACAACTTCTTGCCGCAAATATGCGAATATTATCTCATCCTTTCGCTTTTTATTTCGATAAACTGCCGGGGTGTGGTATTGTGATGATTATGCAAATGACGAGTTCCTTCAACATTCCATCTTCGAAGCTATTGCTTGTAATTATATTCAATTCAAACACGTCTAGTGTATTATTAGCAAAAGCTCACTTTAACTACATACAATGAGGCGAGCCGGGAGCCCGGATCTAACAAAACTTTATCTTCGCCGAAGCGTTTCGAACGATTTTACCGATCTTATCTATCTCAATACTTTTCAAATAATTCGATCTATTAAAGAACTTGTTGGGCGAAACCTCTTCTGAATAAGTTACGTGTTCTACTTAAGAAATTAACAACTATTATCGGGGCGTGTGCTTGAAGAAACGCTAAACGCTAAACGCTATGTTAAAAATTTTGTCGCTAAAATGTTGCACTCTTTGCTTCGTCTCATTCGACGCCATTCTCTTCTCTACTAAACCGTCTGTTTATTCATGACAGCAAACTAGCAGTTACTCGGGGTTGGATCGTACGAATACATGTTAATGGCGTTATAATACATATTCCAGTTCTTTCAATTTTGGAATGGAAATGCTTTATGACTCCCGATTGAAACGGTCCAATAATGCTGGAACCAGTTTTATGTTCTCTCCAACTGCACTACGTTCATCATAAAATCGTAGTGTAAGGATATTCGCGGCAATTGTTGCCGCATCGTTTATACAATGAGTTCATGTGTACGTTGATGGATTGATGCTTACTGGACCTCGTCACGAAATAGTATAAAAAATTATTTTCACTTACTTTAAAAGCTTTAAGAGACGCCTCAAATTAGTAAACTCATGTTGCTTCTGTTCGATTGTTAACGCGAGCGGCATCGCCATCGCCATCGCCGTCGCCATCGCACAAAGCTGTTCTATATGCAAATATTCATATAAAATATTCCTGACACGTTCAATTAATAATAATTTTGTAACGTCAAAGCTTTCATCATCTTTCTCATGTACACTTCACAGTCATTGAAAAAATTACGATGGATATGTTTTTTCCCTTGTGTTCTTTACTTATTGTTATGACGTTTCTTGCAGTTGACGACCCAATTGAAGGCTCAGCATCATTGCTGTTTATATGACTGGCTACATTCATACATTGATTGAGATGAATGAGCGAACGATCATGCAGACCTCTAGACTTTTCCAAGTCTACAGAATATTTTTTGGTCCTTTTTTTGTGGTTGCCTTTGTTCTTAACGGAAGTTAAGAATCTCGTATAAGGTATTCGTCGGAGAACTGAGAGCTTGGGGCTTTAACTTTTTATTGCAATATGTGTAACGAAGATTCTTGGGCGAAACCGCCAAACACTGTCTGCGAATGAGAATCCTTAACGATAATTTTCGGCACAGTTATTGCCTTAACCTCTTCAGCCAGGCGTAGGGTTTTATCATCATTTTGATTTCTATACCGAAATGGCATATGATCTTTTGGAGTAATTTACATAAGTGCCCGGCCGTGTTTGAACGAATAGTACATCATCAATTGGAACGCGTATTATTGGCAAGCAGGAAGCAAGATTTCAGCGCACTGTAGCTGGCCGGCATCTGCTGTACGAGAACGGTAGTCATAATGCTGGAAATTCGTAATATCTTAACCTTTAGATTGTTTCGCCACATTGTTCAGTTTATTCGCACGCCTCAGTGATGCATTGCCTGCACTTGACCTACATTAGCTTGTAGACAAATGGCGTTACTCAAAGCTTCAAAAAATTATGTTGTATAACACTTCAATGGAATAACATATACTGTTACCTAAAGCTTAAAGCTTAAGTCACTAGTTTCACATACAGAAGTCACAGTTTGAGAATATCTAGCAGGCAATGTAGCTTCATCGGTTGCGAGGAGCGAACTGATGAGGACATATCTGAATACCTGATATATGCATTGCATGCAGGAATCTATCCATTTTGCTATCTATTACGAATATTTGGAAAATCTTATAAGCTCCATGCCGTGGGAAAGCTTCCTCGATGAATGTTTTTTTTTTTTTTTTTTTTTTTTTTTTTTTTATAAATTTCTTCATATCGGATTTTAATAAGTCGGAAATTTTTTTCTATAAAGACATTTCCATGGTCCTACGTCATGACTGCACAACACGTGAGCACGTGAAATATTCATGTTCATGTAAATGGCGACCAAATCATATAGGAATTTTTTCCGTCGAACTGGCATAAATAAATGCAAACGTAGAGCAAGTAGTTGTGCCAAGACTTTGTAGCCTTATGCAGTATACTTTCAAGCATATATGTATATGTTTATAAAATTCAATTAGCGTACAAAGTGTGATATATAAATGTCTATTTATTCTCTATATCTGTGTTTATCGGTTATCCCGCCTCTCTAATGTTTCGTACTTGCGTTGTATATAAATACTTGTATATATATATATTTAATATGTGTGTATGGGTGTGTTTAGTGTGATAATTTGATGTATGTGATTTTTCAACTTTCCAGTTTTAGGTCTATCAAAATTTGCAAAATTGGCACGTTCGGTAACGAGAAGCCGTCAATTCAGCGCACATCTGCCAACACTAAAGGATCCAACGAAACAATCTAATCTGGCCCATGTAAGTAGCAAAGAAAAATGCATAGAATGATGTTTTAATTTTTTTTATTTTATTTTTTTTTTTAATTTTTTTTCTTTTTCAATGCAGATGATGTCTCTAAGTGCCGATATTATGCCACAGTATCGTCAGGAAGCACCAAAAACTCCGCCACATATATTATTGCATTATTGTGCATTTAAAGCAATTTGGGATTGGGTGATATTGTGTTTAACATTTTATACAGCTATTATGGTAAGAATTTAACTTTCATCTGTGTCGCACTTCCGCTTTCTTTTATAATAATATGATTAGTGTTTAAATTGTATAGGTTTCCTTTATATATATATATATATATATATTTATTTACCTTTTGCTAGAACAATAGCTATTAAATAAAATACTTAAAAAGCTTAAAATGTGCTCTGCTATAAATGCCACTTACAAGTCAAGCAATCTGATACTTATAAATTTACATAACCGTATAAACCATATAAACATCTACTTACATTCATATCAACAAACACATACATGACGTAAACATATACAATAAGATGTTTGTAAGCGTAGACAAATGTTTACAAAATCTTAAAAGAAGTCTGTTTGTGTGTGTGTGTGTGTGTGTGTGTGTGTGTGTGTGTGTGTGAGCGCATCATTTACACGCTGGGCGAGGAGACGATTTTTATCTATATCTCAACTATCATCCATATATCTCTTCTCCTTTCTTACACTCATTCATGCAATAATTTTTTTCTTTTCATCTCTCTTTCGCCAACACCTCCTTGCCCTCTATGCGCAGACTATTACAATTCTTTACACTCTTGGGCACAAACATACACTTAAGACATGTTCAAGTTTTCCTTAATTTAAAAAAGGAAAAACAAAAAAAAAGTGAAGCAAACATACATACAATCACAATTTTATATATGCATATATCCAACACAAACATATGTTTTCTAATTACATGTACTTTGAGTTACATGAACAACTTAAGCACTTTATTATCTTATTATGTATTTTATAAATGAGGCGTTTTAACTTTATATACGTATTCTTATATATATACATTTGTATGTGTTTGCTTGTTTGTAAGTGGTTATTTGTGTGAATACGATTCTAAAGATGGATGCTTTTACTATCGTAGTGCACTAAGCAGAAGGTATTGCATAATTAATTTGATTTATTTCATGTTTTGTTTTTTTTTTTTCTTCTTCTTCTTTCTTTTGTTTTGTTTTGTTTTTTTTTTTTTTTTTTCTTTTCTTTTTTTGTTTATAAATATTATTTTATTCATTCATTTCATTAATTGATTCAAATGAAATAATACAAAAGTAATATGTATATATATATATACTTATATATGCATGTATAGGTAAATTGAAAAGAAGAAGAATGATTTAATTACAATTAACGTTAAAGTCCGTTACGATATCAAGCAATTATATAAATATGACAACACGTTTTTATCTGTTGCGAAATTATTCGTAAATTCATTGCGGAAATTTTTACCATACATTTCTATATGGCCTTGAGTAGTGTATATGAAAAAACTTTGCATCGATATAGCATATATAAGTCACATTTGCATTATCTAAGCAACCTCTTGTGCTCATCTCACCTTTAGATCGTGCCTTCTTGCGAAATTTCGCTCATAAAATAGTAAAAATTGCTTTTCCCGATCGACCTTATACGGGAAGTGACGCGTTAAACTTGGGACAATAAATTTATATTTCATATAATACAAGTTAGAATTGAATACAATATATTACTATTCCAACCTATATTTGCCAAAATATTATTTGCATTGATTTCAGTTAAGAAACATTAAAGTGAACAATTTTTTCGCTCTCGGGTTGAAACAAGTAAGTCTAAGTCTAAGTCTCATTAAAATTGAGAATTTGCAATTTTTGCTTTTATTCAAATTCGGAATATAGTTCTGAATCAATTACTATAATAGAAGAAGGGCCTATCTCAACTTGTTCGGGACTTCGCATACGTCAAATTACACTTGATCTACGTTCATCACCAGTGGTGCAATGATTATTCCCTTCTCTTCTCCATCTTTACTATCCCATTTGTCTTCCGAGGCTTTACTAGCGACCACCGGTGCGAGAAACATTTTTTGATTTACTGACAACATCTTGTGTCATTTACTTCTCTCTATCTATATAAGAATATTCAGTACCGACCTACGAAATAAACGCTGCATTGACAACCGCTAATCAAGATCGCATCGTCGGCTACCGTATAGTAAACTGGTAACAAAAACGCGACTATTAGGTCACCATAGCTGAGTTAAATACTTCAATATACTTCAACACTTAGGCCTTATTATAAATTGGACTGATGAACGGTCGCAGCTATAGTGTGTACAGACGTTCCTTGCTTAACACGGTGTATCGAATCCATGCTTTATGAAATTTTCTTATACAAATTAAATTATCATCAAACTTAGATATAATATAAATCAAAAAAGTATGTATCCTGCGGTATGGAAACCGTATCATAATATTCGCGAATTGTGTACCGCGTTGAACCGTATTGAAACCGTGCCGCTTTACAAGCGGCGGACACCTTTGCTTGGGCGAATAGTTTCCAAGCTGCGATCACTTTCTTTCTGCATCTTTCTGCGCATCTTTCTGAACCCACCATCACCATGTTACTGCAAGTAATGGACCAACTTAAAAGAGGAAAACTGAATAGCGCAGTATTATTGTCTAGCGCACAGGACAGGTGACCTCTTATGGTGATATGAAAAGAGAATAGCAAGGCACGTTCATTGCACAGAAAATATGTTGCAAGTCGCGAAAGATGCACTCAAGAGACTAAGTATCTAAAGCGATGCAATAAATACTTCAGCTCAGCTAATACCCATAGCACTTACACCGCTTATCTCAAACTATTGCGTTAGCTTCCAGTAGCTGGACGTAGAACGAACGGTCAAAATGCTGATTGATGATGATGATGTGTCCAACACCCAGCAAATTCTTGTTTGTCGTCCTTGTGCACGCTGTCTTGTCCTAATCGAACAAATATTTCACACGAGTTGCTTGTGTGATCTAAAAATGCACATGTCTAGCAGTCACGAACAATGAGGACAACAATGAGGACAAAAACCTTCGAAATGAATTTTCAATAGTTATTAGATCAAAGAGCGTCTTGAAAACGTCAGTTGTCTCTTCCAGTTTGCTAAAACTAGGTGCAATACAAATCATCGTCATATCACAAAAAGTGGAAGAAGCACGTATAGGGTTTGAAGAGCTTTCCATGACGCATCAATATTTGTTAAAAATATTTTGTGTTTTATAAGCTGGAAGGAATCGACAATGTTCTCGGAGCATTTTCTTAAGCCGGCCAGAACAGCCAGAAGTCGCATGGAACTAATTTGTGGGAATATAATGGTTGTGAAGCGGTATTAATCGAGTTATTGCCGAATTCTCAAAGAACTAACGCGAAAGCTAATTGGTTTTGGAACCAATCGAGATTCGTGGCCTTTGAGCAGGACAAAGCATCCTTTCAAATAATGCGGCTTGATTCACATGAAATGCTCACAGCATTAGCGAGATCTCTCGCGATAACAATAACTCTTAGATAGCATTGACAAAGCTTTCATCCAGCGTCAATGGTCGTCGGGAGCACAGTTCGGTGTTGAACTAGTTCCCGTCCTTTAAGATTTTAGCGGAACTTGTAAACATATATTCGCGACATAGTCTGACCGCCAAAGGCTTTCTGTCACATTCTCAACGTTTCCGCGTCAGAATTCTTTCTCGCTGCAAATAAAATTTAATGCAAATGCTCTTTGCTCTTTGACATGAACCTGGCAGCGTTTGAAAGGAATAATCTCACGATTTCAGAGTACCCAAAATGTTCAAGTGAAAAATTCACATTTTTTCTTAAATAGCACTTGTTTATAATGAAGCCTGAAAAATAAAGTGCGAATAGAAATGACATGAGTAAAAAATTAATGTCGTCTTACGCTGGCCATGCCATGATAAATAATATTAAAGCTATTGCAGGAGTTGGTTGACCCTACAGCGCAAATACATAAAATTAAATACGTACCAGAAACAGAACGCTAGCTGACATATCTCTCTCTCTCTCTCTCGGTCTCCGTAACCACCTTATGTTCTATTTTTATAGACTTTGCCACGTTTTATGGAATACAAATTTTTTCTCTATCAGCGCTATCACTTTCTTTGTCTAAGATAATCAAGAAATTGGATGAGATTCGAGATTTCTTGCTAAACTCAGTAAAGCGTACAAAGAAATAGAAAGGTTCGATATTGACTACTTTTAGTTAATATTTTAGGCCCATACAAAGAGAAGAACCTAATTAGAAATGATTGATTTAGAGAAGGAGAGTGTATCAAGGAGTAGCTTCTGAATATTTAACGATAAAATCTTAAAATAATGTAAGCCTACATAAGGGAAAACTAAAAACATTAATGAAGAGAGATAGAGAGGGAGAGAGAGAGGAGAGAGTCTGGTGTCAATATAATTTCTAGATTATTTACACGTAGAGAGCCCAACGCTAGAAAGAACTATATTTAGAAAAAATGAAACTACAAGCTGGCGAAGGAGCTAAAGCAGGTAAAGCATCACTACAGAGTTTAAAATATTATACGCGTTAAGAAGATAGGATTCGACATTGGCAGAAATCAGGTAATTTAGGCGTGCGCTAAAAGAACGGCCAGTCGAGAAAGTTCTATTTAGTGGCCGAGAGTACCAGAGACAGGTCGAAAGAAAGAAAGACAGTAAGAGAGTGGGCGAGAGGGAGAAAATGAAACAAAAGAGGAAGAGAGAAAGAAAGAAAGAAAGAAAGAAGAAAGAAAGAAAGAGAGAGAAAGAGAGCCTATCGCTTGAATTTTTAAGATGCTTTGAACCACGATTACTAAGGCAAAGGACCTCGAGTACTGACCCAATCTCCGCACATTTTGGCCATTGTTTTGACTACTGTTGTACACTTAAGAAATCCCCCGAATCCAAATCTTTATGTTACTTGATAAAGAGGAAGAGAGAGAGAGAGGGGATATATTGACAAGTTCTTTGCTCGATTGATATGCCATAGGGGACATTTGCAGCGATTTAAATGCTAGTTAATGCGATATTTTCTTCTTATAACCCACTGCTTACAATTAATTACTCTATTTTTCTTCTATTTGTTGTTTTTTTTGTTGCTACGCCCTGTTCATTTTTTTGATTGTTGTCTTCCAACTTAATTGTGCTTGATTAGACGTCGTCTGCATTTACTCTCAACTTCCTTAATGAGCAATTATACAGACATGGAAATTGTAATTATAAAATAGGCAAAGAGCATCGATATATGCCGATAAGATATAATGACGATATGTGCGCTCAAATTATATAACTTTGTACGTTTAGTTATTTTAAATTTATAAAATAGAAAGCTTTCAGATCCAAAGCGTATCATATTGATCACGCTGTCATATCCTATATATAAGTATAGCTATATATAAGTATTAAAATAATTGTAGTAATAATTATATATATAGTCGACAACGCGAGATTCCATTTTAAGGCGACTACAAATATTTATTCGTTTCTTTGAAAAGTTTGTTTTGTCTGTTTTCTTCTTTTTCTTGTTTTTTCTTCTTCTTCGTTCAGGTGCCATATAATGTAGCTTTTAAAAATAAAACCTCTGAAGATGTTTCCTTACTTGTTGTAGACTCAATTGTAGATGTTATATTCTTTATTGATATCGGTAAGTATTCAAATTAATAATCTCTCTATGTCCAAATATATTGTTTACATCTCATAAAAACTTAACAAATTCCCGAAAATATCTTATGTGTAGTTGTGCATTTTTGTTGTGCCTATTTTTAAAATTGATAAGATCGCTGATCAATTAATAAGCAAATGATAAGACATAAAAGTTTCAAATGTTTTCCGAACACTCTCGTTTCTAAAGAGTTTTGAGTTCCAATGCCCTCACATGCATATCACACAAACAGCAATAGCTTTGCTAAATAGAATAGAACTGTTGCATTAGAAACATATCTGCGATAATGCATCGGCGATTGTGCATGTCCCGGACAAATTGACAAATTGAACGAAATATTTCAAAATTGAAATTCGCAATAAATGTGTGATGTCAACGAAAAGTATTGGAAAATTTTAGCATTAATAAAATCTCTACTTAATCGACATCATCAGAAATAATGAGTTTTTATATTGGCTAAGCTGTTTGCATGAAAGCTTGTTGAGAGTTTTACAAGCAAAGTCATTCAATATATTGAAATTGTAATGATTTTCTGATGAAACGACAAACGGCTCACTCAAACCGTCCGTCGTTCTCAAAATTAAAACCCAATGAGGTCAAAGTCATTGAAATATGTATCTTATTTACGGGGTATAACTTTTTTCAGTTATAACATTTTTTCAGTTTACAAATTTTCATCACTAGCACTTTGTGACTTAAGTGACTTAAGATGAGAGAACAATTTGATGAAAGAAAACATTTCCATAATGACTTGATAATATGTCGGTTTTAAACCGTTTTTAATCGGTTCCATTAGTTTCTTATATTATGCTTGATTAATTTTGAAAAATACATTTTTTTTTTTATCAAATAAAAAAACACTGACACTGACACCTTTAAATACGCATACGTACTTCATGACGTATTTCGACGAGTAGAATGATAGCGACTTCATTTCACAATATTTGTTATTTTTTACAACCATTACCGAGCGATCGGGGTATACTTTATACTATTGCCAAACTATCTGCAATAGCCAAAAGTAAACTTCGGAGACGTTATAAGTTGTATATACTCCCGATCAGCATGAAATTCTGAAGGGATCTATTCATGTCTGTCCGTCTGTGTATCTGTGTTCATAATCGTCTTTCTCGCAAGAGCTAAGATATCGATTTCAAATTTGATAAGAATATTGAAAGTTCCTATGCACAAGTTGGTATTGGAAGTGGCCACTAACCGATACGCGATCACAGTTAAGCGTAAGACGAAAACATCTCTATTTCTCTAAGCAAATATGTTGTGATTTTTGCTCATTACCAACGAATTACGAAAGATAGAAGGCTGAAATTTTCAAGCCTATATAAAATTTATTTTATGGACGAGCGTGTGAAGTGAAAGAAAGTATTGTTTTTTTTTTAAACGAATATTGAAGTACAGAACAGGCCCGAATATGAATTAGACAACTTTTACTATATACATTAGCGTTTCCCCTTAACATGCTTTCATAATAATGTAGTCAAAGTTATTCTTGTCGCCTTAATAATAAAATATGGTATTTATTCGCATCATGCGATTAAGAAAAAGAAAGAGGAAATATAAAATTTAATATAATATTCTTTTAGTTGCTACGCATTATCTCTTTCTCCTTCTGAATAGAAAATATAATAATTTTGAGATTCACTTCATATTTTTGTGTTGACGCGGCTACATAATCTCTTAAGCAATTTATTTGCCATCAAACAGACAACATTTTATAATTGTGTCCCTGTGTAAGAGAGTAAATAAATTTTTTAAAAGTACTTAAGTGAAAGGGAAAAAATTCATAGAAGAGTGCTTTAGAATAACTCTCATATTTCTCTCTACTCGAGAAGCCCTTAATAAAACGCTTTGAAAATCCTTAAGACATCTTTAAGGCGGCAAACGTAATATTCATAAATCATTTTTGCAACGGCAGACGACAAACAGCGAAATATAATATTATGAAAATGTGAATATATTCTTACCTTCTTTTCTTTTCTCTTTTGTCTCTTTTTCTTATTCTTCTTCCTCTACTTCTTCTTATTCGTCTTCTTCATCCGGCGCCCCCCCCCCCCCCCTCATCCTTTTGACATTAATTTGATTGTTCCATCATCATCTTATTTTTCTCTTATTTAGTTTTAAATTTTCATACCACATTTGTGGGACCGGGAGGCGAAGTGGTTAGCGATCCCAAGGTGATACGTATGAATTATTTGAAATCGTGGTTTATTATTGATTTGCTCAGTTGCCTGCCATATGATGTATTTAATGCCTTCGATCGCGATGAGGATGGCATCGGCTCGCTGTTTAGCGCTTTAAAGGTTGTTCGCTTATTACGTTTAGGTCGTGTTGTACGTAAATTGGATCGCTATTTGGAGTATGGTGCCGCCATGTTGATATTATTATTGTGCTTTTATATGCTCGTCGCTCACTGGCTGGCATGCATTTGGTATTCAATTGGTCGCACTGATGCGGATAATGGAGTAAATACACTCTTCTCCTTTTTTATATGTTTTCGCTTCTTTTTATTTTTTATTTATTTTTTTTTTTTTAATTTTATATCTTTCTCCTTCTTCGCAGATACAATACAGTTGGCTTTGGAAATTGGCCAATGTCACCCAATCGCCGTATACTTATGTTTATAACAATGATTCCAGCGCTGAATTGATAAATGGTCCATCACGTAAGAGTATGTATGTAACAGCATTATATTTTACCATGACCTGTATGACTTCGGTAAGTGTGTGGAGGAGAGAAACTTTGTTTTTGTTTTTGTTTTTTTATTCCCTGATATGGTTTTCTTTTCTTTTAATATAATTTAAAAAAAGAAAAGGAAAAAAATTTCTATTTTATTTCCTTCTTGAGAAACCAAAACATAAATAAATAAATGAATATATATATATACATGTATATATATATATATATATATATATATATATATATATGTATATTTATTTATATATATACGTATGTATTTGTTCTTCTTCTAGGTGGGCTTTGGCAATGTGGCTGCTGAGACGGACAACGAGAAGGTGTTCACCATCTGCATGATGATTATTGCAGGTGCTGTGTTTTGACACGTTCCGTTGCCACGTCACTTATTTATGAGCTTAAGTTGAAAAGCTAAGCAAAAATAAAATGTGTTAAATATCATTTTGCTATATTTGGCTTATGGTAGTTTTGATAACAACACATAAACATAATGTAAACGTGTGTGCGTGTATATATGTTTGTCTATATTTTACATTATTTTAGAATATTATTTATTTATTTAGTTTATATTTATATATATAGTTTTCTTGATTTATTTCAATGATTTTATGCTTTCATCATCTTTTCTCTCTTCTACTTATCATAAATAAATTGAGTTCAAATTTTCAATTGGCTTAGGACTGTGATACGATTTAGCCATGTCTGTCCGTTTATCCATTCGTCTATTGTTGATTGTCGGATTTCTCAAAAACATCATTTAAAGAGCTGCTGACGCACATGATAAGCGTAATAGAGCAAAAAAAAAAAAAAGAAGCAAATAAGAAGATAATAGTGGGCCGTAGCCCACATTTAACTATCATACGCCATTTTTGTTCGTTATTCATATAGTAGCTCTTCAAGAGAAAGAGTCAAAAAGTGGTTCGTTCTCAAATTATTATTCATCTATTACGTAATGAAAAACTCACAATGAGACTTTTTCACGATACAAAGGCTTAGTTTTGATGAGAGCGAAAGGGGTACAAAAAATTAACTGCCCCGGTCCAAGTTTAGTGCAGTTGATTTTTGTATCATACCACTATTATGAAACAATTAGATTAGAGGCAAAAATGCCTGCATAGAGGAAATGTTAAAGTATGGACCCCTGCCAATCTAAATATTCCCCATCAATTTAATATGTCGAAATAGCATTAATTAATGATTTTCGTGAAAAATTTTTGAAAATTGCAAATTTTTTTGTTTCATTTAGCAACTTTCTCAAAAAGAGTCGAAATAATCGTAAAAATGGTCCGAATTTATGTTTTTTTGAACAGCGTTCGTCTTCGATTCAAAATACGTCGATGTATCAAATTTTATCAAATTATTTCAAAAATTGCACTCTGTACGTTGAACACCACTGATGGACATATGGACAGACAAGCTTATATCAATTCATATGGAGATTCTAAAACACTATGATAAAAGGTGGCTATACCTCACATCCGTCTGAGTTCTGTACACAACTGCATAATTTAGATATACCCTTGCACCACAAGTGCTGTAGGGTATAAAAAAAAGAAGAAATTTCAAAGCATTACCGTCATAAATGGGATGCAATTTATTGTAGATATCGTTATAATATTGAATGCAATTATTTCTTAGAGACCACCACAGAGTCATTTAAATGTAGAAAAGATCCGTTCAACTAATGCGTCAAAACAAAACGAAGATTACATAAATTTCATCCCTTGATTCGGCTGCGATATGGATGTCAAATTAATTGCGGGAAAAGCTTCGCTAAATTAAAGTGTTTTAATGATGAAAATATCAAGTCATCTTCATTTATGCAAAAAAGAAAAAACAAATGATGGAAGAGTTTAAAGCAACTCTACGACCTAATGTGCCACAGCGGAACTGAAAGCCAATCGAAAAGAGATCTTTGAATTATTTTCGGATATGTGAACTATGAGCCAAGTCCTTGACAAACAACTGCCTTGAACAGCACCTATTCCATGTCAGCAAAATATTTAAGTTAACTCACCAAACCTTAACTCAGTAAACCTTTCCGAGCGAACATCAATCATTTACTTAAAATGATGGGTATATATGGTTTGTCCGAAGACTCTCTTGCTCACTTACTTTATAGTTTAATTTGTTTTTTATAATATTTAAAATATTCATTTAATTTTGTATTTATTGTTTTTCATTTTTGTATTAAACCGATCTTTTGTTAAATAAAATTTTTATTTATATGATTTTATTTAACATACTTCAAGAGAAAGGCGCACATCTTGCATTATATATACATATTTATGCCGCTAGAACTAATAATTGCTATCCTGTTGTAGTTTTATGCTTATCATTCATGTTTTTATATCTATCCAATTTTTAAAACTATTTCTATTAATTTTTAATTAAATTTCCTTACACTTCAAGTAGAATTAACCCCTTGAGTAAAAATCGATTTTTCTCTGTGAAAATTGCAAAGAGGTGACCTCTGTTGAGTGCGGAAATTTTTTTTGAATTCTTCAAAGGCTTCGCCATTAGAGAATTGCATATGATTTTTGAGCCGAGTTCTATTCAATGATCAAAACTTGAACTATTCGTTTTCAACGCGGTTAGCGCGTTACTGTTACTGCACATCCATTACTGGGATATGCCATGCGTATGATTACTTTTCAAAATCTCTTCTAGCGATTCTATTAATTGCATTGTATTCATGAATCTAATTCATTTCACAATATTGTTTTATCCGTCTGTCCGTCTGCTAGCTGTTTGAATATCTGAAATCAATAATAGCGAGACTAAAACTTGATACTTAGCAAGTTATATATCTCCGCATCACTTCGTGAAATGAATAACATCCATAATATAAATAATGAAATAAATTTAAGTAGTAGCAGCCACCAAAAGATCTTATGTAATTGAACACAAAAACATATATAGAAAATTACGCGAATGATTTGAGAAAAGATACAATAGACATATCGAGTATATATCAATGACTAATGAGGCGGGAACCGCTTTTTGAGTCGGAAAGATATATTTTAGTACACAAGATAAAGTAATATTCATACGACATTTCCAAAGGCATAAAATGAGATAAGAAGTAGTAATAGACTTATGCCGAAAATGCAGAAGTATTATAGAAACACAAGATCATATTATTGCCGGATGCACAACACTAGCTAATGCCTGGGAATACCTGCACAGGAGTGCAAAATGGCGCTGTACACTAGATGGATATTATAGGCAACAAAGCCACACATATTATAAATGTTATAATCCCGCTCACGCAAAGTGTACAACGAGTTTGCTCCAATAAGAAGAAAGAGATAAAAATTATGTAGAATGTGGAAAAGGTTAATATAAATCTCATTGTGATATCATGCGCGGCGGAAGGGCAATAAAAGGCCTAAAATACTTACGTATAAATGATATACTGAAGAAGGTACAGAAAGGTAGTGCTGCTCTCTACAGCGATACAATAATAGAACACATCACAGAAGCATTAAGAGAAAAGATTACAAAATCACTTAACACAAATTCTTGGTGGAATACGCGCGGGGATGGGTGAATTGCCAAATCGAAGCTGAGGAATGTAGAAACTCAATAATAATGATATTGTATTATTAACAAAGCCATTAGCAATCCACCATTAAAATTTCACATAGATATGGATGGAAACGATCCAGCAACACGTCCTTACTTAGTAGCATATAGTTGAGTAGTTTTTACATGCATTTCTCTTACTCTACTTTCATATCTTACTTATATTATCAAGCTTATATTTTACGTTTCCACAGTAGTTCGTTTACAGATCTCGGGGGACAATGTTTCCCTCGTCTCGGGGAATAACATTCACTATTTATCGACTTTCGTGTCTTCGAAATTTCGTGTTTTCGCATTTGTTAAGACGTCAAAACTTTTACGAACAGATCGATGGAAAAGACGAGCGGCACACCACGGCCTAAATATGGCTCGTCCTTGTACCTCTCTTCGACGTATGATATGCAGAGAACTCATACGTTTCGTCGCTGATGATATGATATGGATATGAAAATACCTTCCGCTTATTTTTGATTACAAATGCATTTGCTTAAGACCAAATATTGGATGCAATTGACTAAAACTATTTAAAATTTGCCATCTAAAGTATATATTCGTGGACAAGATGGCGCTATTGATGACATTCAGAATATAATGTAATTAATATCTAGGAACCGTATAATAAAGTGAACACAAAACTGAAAGAAAAACTTCCTAGCACGGCTATGATTGACTGGAAATTTGTATTAGGTATCGGGGCAAAGTTTCGCGCTTGCGCAATTAAATAACTCTGGATTTGGCTTAATAGCGTTGCTTAAACTCGAAATGCTCTTCGGAATTGTCAGCTTTTCTTATTCTTGAGCTCCGTTTACGCTTACGCTTACTACCTCTCGTGAACAATTTTCTCTTGTTGGTCTTGCTCCAAAACCAAGTTAATGGTGCAAGTTCCGGATGACCCCAAGTCCACCGTAAACAATGCTAAAGCACTCTTGTCATCTTTCTTTGTGCAATCACCACTGATCGAAGACGAAGATTGTTCTATGTTCTCCATTGCACGTAAGCCTTCCAGTGGCCAAGGAGACAAATGAAAACTCTCGAACTGGCGAAAAGGAATATTCTTATCGGAAAGGCTAGGCAATCGTAACTCAGGCTCTTTCGATTCATTCGCTGCTCGTCCATCAGCAACAGCGAATAGATCGTCCAGCTCTGTAGGTGTTAAGCGGAAATCATTGAAGTTCTCAAACGAAAGATTGCTGTCGCAAACAATTGCAAATGGCCATTGCGACTCCACTGAACAACTTTCACAAGTTAGCCTGGAAACATCCTCTGTACTCATGTGTCCCGCCATTATATCTTCTGATATATTATCGCCATAATCAAAATATCCGGAAAATATACTACTGTCGTAAATACTTGGCAGTGGGAAATCCCTTACAGGATTTTCGCAAGCCATTCTCGGTTCTTGCCATCGTTCCACTTGTTTTATTTGTTGGCTATTTATATCCTCAGATGTATTTGTGCTCTGACCGAAGCAAAGCGAATTATCGGAGTCACCGTACCGCAATTCAGCTGGAAGTATGAACTCTCCGTAATTCCGTCGTGGCTGCAACTGTTGACCACGACCTTCTTCGATAAAATAAGACGCAGGTAGATTTACACCAAATTGATAATTTATTCCGTACAGCGGTGAAGCGGATAACGACAACGATTCTTCCAATTGTGATTGTTGGATGCTCGCTCTATATGTACGAAAGTAATAGTTTAACCAAGAATCCATAACTTCTTAAAAAATTGCTTTTCTTCTTTCTACCGTCATTCAAAGCGTATCACTGGCAATTATTAATTAACCTTCGGTTTATCGATCCGCTGCTTATACAATTTTTTCCACGATTAAAAAACACTACGCTCGGGGCTTCGTACAAAGAACCCGCCAAATATAATCGTCCTATGGCTAATAATATTTTTATTTATCTCTTTTATTTTTTTGACAAATAACGTATTGAATACTTGCTGCTGCAGGCGGAAAGTGACGATTGAAATTTGAAATTTCATCGATTGACGAGACGAAATTAGAAAATGAACGCAACCCCGTTTTCGAATACAGTTGATCATTTATAAATGATCTGTGAAAGTAGTCGCAATCATCTCGCATCCACCCTTTCATCTGTCTTATGTTTGTCAAGCTAAATGTTGCAATTGTTGGAACTATCTTGATCAAGCACAGTCATAGTTTCTCTCGAGGGAAAGTGTTACTGAAATTTCGAAAGGGATAAGGTGGATGAATTTTTACCATCTATTTTGTTGCATGAAAAAGTCTCTTTAATAATTTTCCATAAAAACCCTTGAGAAATGGTATTTTGACGTAGTAAACGAATGCGACAAATTTGGATAGGATGGAGACCGTTTCAAAATGGGAACTCACCAAATGCGAATTGAACTCTTAAGGTCAATTTTATTGGACTCCTTTACATGCAAAAGCTCCCAAAAAAAAAGAATAAATATAAATGAAGCTTGTTATGACAACAAGGTATAACTTTTCATATGAGAATAGGTTAATATGTGCAGTGGAGTAGGCGCTGCTTGCTGTTTAAGATACTTCCTCCACCGACTAATAGCATTTTAGCTTATTTTCTTATCTGACTTCATCGTTCAACGAATAGACTTTTATATGCTTCGGCAATTGATGCTTACAAGGATATATCACGTTGAACGTATCGCGTCCAGACGTTGTGTTCCTGCTAAATAATCTTTTCAAGGAAGAAAGTGTCCAAAAATTTTCTTTTGATGATTTGTAATTTTCGGCCAGAAGACCAGAAAAGTGGAGATCTGCAAGCTGGGAAATGAAATCTGGTGGAGAGTCTTCACTGTTGCACATCACTTCTGATTGCGGAGAAAATTGTAATGGTTCCACGAGACTATATTCTTACACGGTTATTCCCGGGTGACGTTGCACACATGTAGTAAAAATGTTCCACTTGATGCTCTTAGAAGCGGTTAGCCTCTTATTATTAGATAAAAGATACGTTATCTAGGTACCTATACTGCCTTGATAACCACGACGTTTATTGGACGTCCCATTAATGAGAAACAAAGGCGACTCGATGAAGTTATCAACAACAATTCGCACTTTATTGCAGAGTTTGCAGAGGTCGACTTTTTAAACTCAGAGTCAAGTGGCAATTCTCGTTGTTAATATTAATTAGAAAATTTAAGTAATTCCAAGAAAGAAGAAGAGAATCCATCGACGGTGGACCACATGGTTTTGAATGTCAATTGTCTTGGCCACTTCGTGATTTTTAGTTTAAATGCTTTGCAGGGGAATGAAATGTAACCCATGGCTATCATGCGTTGGCGGTAATAGCCAAGTTCAAAGAAATTAAAACGGACGAAGGAACTCGCATCGCAAAGAACCCTTGGGAATTCGCTGACCCTCAATCCTCTTCCATAGGCGGTGGCTGCTCCTAATGAAAGAAGGTTTTAGTCAAAAGTGGATTCAGTCACTGAACTACCTTGTGGGTCAAGGCGGGGGGACTAAGCACGTATAAGAAATTTAACTCTCGCTCGCAAGACGAAAGCTAATTTTCAGCTACGTGATCACCCCTCAGAATCATTTCACGACAGTTATTATGGACTTTGGTAATGTTCACTGAATGTAAGTGAGATAGCAAAATATGTAATAGCTGGCATTATGGGGTGTTCTGCGGCTGTGTGGTGTTAAAAATGTTCAATGTGAAGACGAAGGTCTTCGTTTCAACCTCAATAAAATCATAAATAACTTTTATTTAATTAATGAATTTTTCCTTAGTTGGGTGTTATATGCAGTGTTATATGCTCTGCTTGGCATATGGCTACAGGCCTTGCCGATATTTGCATATTACACATATTATATCAATAGTGTTACCGGATCGTAATTAAGCTATTCCGCTTGATAACAGTCGATACCGTGTTTTTAGCCCCACGTTTTTATTCCGTTCAAAAAAATCAAAAAATGATTTGTTCTCTGAGTACTTTAACAAAAAAACGTGAATAACGGTATAATAAAATGTAGACAATTTATACTACATGTAGACAATATGCCAAGTTGACTGTTAGGAAACAGTTAGCAGTCGCATCAACAAATTTATGGCTTTCTAAATGTTAATCGTGAATATGGGTCGAACAATGCTCCCTAAAGGTATACGATCGATCATTTTCAAAAATGTACACTCATGCATACGAGCGTGATTGTATTTCGTTTTTAATAAAGCATGCATTCGAATGCATTCGAAGTTGAACTAAATCGGGAAAATGGAAGAAAGATGTAAACCCTGAGGACGAATGCAAAAGCATGCCGAAACGAGATCCTGTACTACCTGGAGAAGCTCATGCGATCAAATTTTTTTTTTTTTTTTTTTTGCTTATTTGGTCGAAGAAAACAGTTATTAGTGACGAGGACGCGAGTGTGATTTACAAAATATTGCCGTTCAACTGACAATGCACAAGATATTTCCTTAAATGGTTTAACTTTAACACACATGCATATAGCGATCGTTTTATTATCATATTAAATTCACGAATAAACGTGAATCGATTCGTTTTATCGGTTATTCACAAACAAATATCAATTAAATCTATTTTACGATAAAAAATTTCTAACAAAAGTATATGACTTGGATTTATCATTTATCAGAGAAATTGATTACCGAAATCGACGATAGATATATAGAGTATATTAATATCAAAATTTGGTTTCTCACACTCAAACGAGAGTACATTAACAAACTTCGATTGCCGTATCGCGGGAGCTTAAAAACATATGAGGTGATAAATTTTGAACATGCCACTGTTGTCTACTTTGCCTCCTTTGTATTGAATAAGTCCGTAATTACTACATATATATATTGTAGTAATATATATATATATATATATATATATATATATATATAGATATTACAAAGGCGTGTTTTGAAATTTTTATGATTTTTTTTTTTGTTTTCTTCGTCTAATGTATTGTGTAGTAATTCATTTTAATAGTAAAAATGAAATTCTTTAAAAAAAAGAAAAAAAAAAAAAAATTGGAATTTTTTTCAAAACTCCAAACCATCTTTAAGTGCACATTCATTTCCGTACCATTTCGTACAGGTACTAAACTATTGTCCGAAAGATATGAAGGCTGATATATGTGTTCATCTAAATCGCAAAGTATTTAACGAGCATCCAGCATTTCGTCTTGCCTCGGATGGTTGTCTTAGAGCGTTGGCCATGCATTTTATGATGTCCCATTCAGCACCCGGCGACTTACTCTATCATACTGGCGAAAGTATTGATAGTTTGTGTTTTATAGTGACCGGTAGTTTAGAGGTTATACAGGATGACGAAGTTGTGGCAATACTGGGTAAGTGAGAAAGAAATGCAAAACAAGTGAAGCAAAAGTGTTTTAATTATAATATTAATCCTTTATACCAAAAAAAAAAAAAAAAAATATATATATATATATATATATATATATATATATATGTATGCATATATATATAGGTAAAGGTGACGTTTTCGGTGACCAATTCTGGAAGGATTCGGCCGTTGGCCAGAGTGCTGCCAATGTCCGTGCTCTAACCTATTGTGATTTGCATGCCATCAAACGTGATAAATTGCTCGAAGTTCTTGATTTTTATTCAGCCTTCGCCAATAGTTTTGCACGCAACCTTGTGCTCACCTATAATTTAAGACATCGACTGATTTTTCGCAAGGTGGCCGATGTGAAGCGCGAAAAAGAATTGGCCGAAAGGCGTAAAAATGAACCACAATTGCCTCAAAATCAAGATCATTTGGTGCGTAAGATATTTTCGAAATTCCGACGTACGCCGCAGGTTCAAGCCGGCTCGAAAGAGGCCGTTTCGGGTCAAAGTGATGTCGAGAAAGGTGGCGGCAGCGGTGGAGGTAGTGGTGGCGGCGGAGGCGGTGGAGTTGGAGGTGCCGGTACTGGTGGTGGTACCGTTACCGACAACGAAACCGATCGCAATAAGGTGAGTTGTTTTATTCGTTCTTTTTTTCTTTTGTTTTTTTTTTTTTTTTTTGTTTTTTTTTTGGTTTTTCTGTTTCTTGTGTCTTTGTTTATTTTGTACTCACTGTTAATGAATTGATTGCTATTAGAAACCAGAGAGAATCAAAATTAATTAAATTATCTATCTATCTATCTATCTGTGGCTGAAATTAATTGTGTGCTTAAATGTTAAATGTTTTTTTTTTAATTTATGTTTAAAAAATTAAACAAAAAGTCGAGAACAATATTTAATGGTCATGTAAGTGTTGGTTGTGTAAATTGTTTGATAACTCTAGAACTGAACAGTTTTTTAATGTATGAAAATTCGTCTTCAAACTAAATTCAAGAGCTTTCGAAAGACGGTTTGTATTGTTTCCAATTTTATATATGCTGTACAATTTAGATATTCTTAGATATCTTGCAACAACAAAATGAGTTTGTAATCAATGTAAAAAATTTAATCCAAAAATACGCACAAGAAGCTGCCGGGACGCGTAGTTCATTCCAATTATTAAATCAGTTTTCTCGGTCGCTGCACATCGCAAACAGTCTGATATGAAAATTACATGTTTCGTCGCAGTGGAAATCCGAAATCGAAGATATATTCGATTAGTTCACTTAGCGGAAATAAAATCCCGAATAAAATTCATGAAAGAACTGCAACAAATTGTGCCTTCCTGGTTCGGGCAAGCAGAGATACCCTGCACTATGCACAACTGCAATTCTTACACCTTTCTTCTCGATAGGCGTAAGAAGATTAGCTTTTTTTCTTTTCTTTTTTTTTTTTCAAGAGAATTGTGAAAAAATATTTGATTGAAAAGACTTCGCTTCATTATTGTCCAAATCTTGCAATCTCAAGCTCAAAGATAGAGAAGAGCTACTAAAAGCATTATAGTGGAGCGTGGCTTGTCATTAAGTAACCTACATCACCTCCCTTAATACTACTATTCGTATAAGGACTATTCAACATAAGCAATTATAGGGAAAGTGCTCGAAAAAGTGGCGCGAGTCGATCCATTTTCAAATGCGTTCCTCCTCGAGCCAAAATACGTCGGTGCAACTAATTTTATGAAAACGCCTCGAAAATTTGCGACTTGTAGGCTGAACAAAAGAAGACAAAATGGACAGATGGACAGATGGACAGACGGATAGACATTCCGTCGCTGTAATAGAAAAAGGTTAGTTGAGTTTTTACAATAGAATCTTACATATAAAATTTAGGCAGATTTTACTCTACATTTTTAAGAGTTTATCAAAATCTTATATATATATAAATATATATATATATGTAGAAACATGTCATGGCTGCGATTTTATGAGAATAATGTTTCATTAACAAGCTAATAAGTTGATAATACTTTCATATAAAATATCTTCCGACTTTTGAATATGAAAACTCAATTGTTGAGGCTGTTCGATCGCTCGATTAATACGTAACGTTAGAGAATTATTTTTCAGAATAAAAAAAAATAAAAAAATATTTTAATTGGAGTCTTTACTTCTTTATAAAAAGAGTTGTTTTGTTTTTGTTTTTTTTTTTTTGTTTTTTGTATTGAATGCGAAATTGTTTATGCATACACTGTTTTACAAACTCATTAACGCTTGTGCTGTTCGCCTAATATAGGTTATATGTACATGTCTGTTTTAGTTTGTTGTTAAATTGTTCTAAAAATTAATAAAGTTCTTGAAAAGTAATAATAAAAAGTACACAACAACTTATGCTCGTTTCTTTTTTCTTTTTATATCTATTACTCTTTCTCCCTCTCTGCCTTTCTCCTTGTTTTTTTTCTTTTTTTCTTTTAAAACTGCTAAATAATTAATAATATAAAACCTTTATCATAATTGTTATATGTACTGTCACATACATATTTATATATGTACATATATATATATATATATAAATATATATATAAATGTATGTATATATATAAATGTATTTCTGTGCTCACACAATCTATATGCTCATCTTCCCGAAACAATATATCACATAATTGTGTTATTGAATCCTTAATTACCTTAACTCCATGACATAAACATATATTTTTGTGTGGAAAGCAGTTACCCGCCAAATTAACATTAACCGAGGACTCCCGCATTTTAACCACTGCTGCTGCACCCTCACCCACGCCCTCTCCATCACCCTCATCGGGTCCACCATCTGCGCGTAGTACGCGTGCTAGCAAATGGGGACGCCTTCTGGGTAGTTCAAGTGTCGATTCAGCTAGCGATACTAGCGCCAAAGTAGCAGTCTCGAGAAGTTTGAGTGCCCGCGAAAGTCTGCGTGAGAGCACGGCCCAAGCGAGGCAGAGTAGTACTTCGAGTAGTAATGGTGGACAAGGCAATAAAGTAAATGTAACAGTATTTCTCTTGTTTTTATTATAAAACAAAAAACTTAATTAATTCATTTATCGATCGATGTTTTAATTAAAATTTTTAGTGTAACAATTGTTTTATTTTTTTTTTTTTTTTGTTTTTGTGTATTTTGTTTTCTTTTTTTTTTTTTTTTTGTTTTTATTCTCTCTCTTTTTCGAAACAATTTAACATAATTTATAAAAAAATAGTATTAAGATTAAAAACGTAACTCGAAGCGATTGAAACGATGCTTGATATAATTTTCACTTGGGCTAACTTAACCGATTTTTTACTAATTAACCAAACATACGAATATTTATGATGACGAATTATATATATGGGCGAGGTCGGACGCATTCTATCGCTCTTAGATATCGTTTCGTTTAAACATCAGAAAATTTCTAAAACAGAAAGTTATGACTGCCGTCATTCCGACAATTTTCAGTATTTACCTTTGGGGAAATGTTACAAATGAGGGCATGTTTCATAGCCACTTATGTAACATTCGGAAAAGTTATTCATCTTGGCAGTTCTTCATCAAGTCATTGTGTTCAGAAAACATCTAAAAAATATGGGAAAAAGAGTCTGCCGAGAGAGCCGCTGAGAAGTTATAGCTTAATATAATTTTTTTTCTGTTTTCTATCACTATCAGATACGTTCGGAATATGTTTATACTCATTTAAAACCAATTCCAAATATTTATACACATGGCTTGGCTTTCAGTACAAATGAGGGTGAGAATGACTTGAAAGCTTTCAGTGCTTGTGTCAAAGTATCATCTTAAAAATGTAGGATGAAATTTTTTAAATTGTTTAAACGCTCAGCTATAGAAGTACACATCTGCACACAAGTGTTATTGCCGTTGTGCAAAAGAGATACCTTGAAGCCAAACGAGATAGAGGAATTAAAAAGGAAAACTTGGAAGGACAGTTTTATGATAATCGGATCGTAGACTAATGGAGTGCAGGCGGAGAAAACAATAAAAATTGCATTATAATAAAATAATAAGATTTGTATAACATATATGTTTTCAAAGCTTGAAACACTTGTATGGTGTCTTTAAAATCCCATCCGCTAGAGAATGCGGTCGGATATATTTGATAAGTTAATCCAAATATTCTTTTGTTAACAAAAGAATGTCGTTCTTCTGATCGCATAATTGACGTTTTTTCATTCAAACACTTGAGAATCAACATTTCTAACAAAGCCTATGCCATTCTCTACATATAGCAATGTAGATTACATAACTCTCTATAGGTTTTGTGTTCCTTTTTTAATGCAAATTTGCATCAGCTAAACTGAAAAATGAACCGGAGATTAGACATTTTTTTTTTACATATTTCCACAACCAAATATATTTTTTAGCGCTGGAATAAAAATTTAAAAATAGTTTCGTTTATTATTGCAACGTGTATCTTTTCATCCATCCAAAGAACGAATTGCCAAGAAGAGAGAGTGGCGTTAACGCTAAAGTTAAATTTTTGCAAATTAGTTCTGGAAAAGTAACATTTTGAAAATACCTTTAACCAAGCGACAATTTTTCATCATCACCCCAACCAATCCTGAAGGGGTTGAGTTAAGCGAAACAAGTCAAAAAATGCTTTTCTACTCAACTTGTAAATGGGCAGTTAAGATCAATTATCTACGAATGCATCTCAAACTACTATTGATGCTTTGCTTACATTGATGTCTCCTGCTCGGTATCAATTAGGTTAAGCAACGCACCGCCCTAAGGGAAATGTCTATAGAAGCAGCTTAAACGGATTTTCTGTAGTTATTGGCGGTTTTTTTGTTAGATAAAACAATTTACTTGGAATATGAATCATTAATCTGTCATCTGATTGTTTGATACAGCAGTGGCTACGTAATCATATCCTCAATGTAGAGTTTCGGATACTCATTTGCATTGCAATCATTTTGACTATGCAAAAGTTGTATTTCATCCAACAAAGACTTTGTTCTACTTACAGGATAAAATGATTCTTCGAAAGGATTAGAATTTTAATATCTTTGGAAATTTAATAAAATTTAAAAATATATATATATATTGAAGAATTAAAAAGAAAAATTCTTTTATCTATGAGGACGTTTTTAATCTTATTTAAAGTATTATTTTAGATTTTCGATTTTAGTTCGCATTTAATGTATTTTGTACAAAAATGAAATAATTTTGAAAAATTAAAAAATTTCCTATTATATAAGAAGAAGTAATATCATTAATATCATAACTAAAGTAATTTATATTTAAATGTATTTTTCTCTTTCGTCTAACTATTCCCATACTGATGGAATGTGAATCTTTTCAAATTATTTATTTTGGAATGAATGGACAACAACAAAAACAAATATTTTATAAAATAAAATAAAATTTCTACAACAACTGGCACCTGACTGCACCTGATTGAATGCCTCAAAATAATAAAATAAACCAAATAACGTTAAACGTTGTCATAAAAACCACCACTTTATCTCTATCCCTTTCTATACGCATCACTTTTTCTCTTATCGTAAATTTTTGCATTTTATATTTCCTTTTCTCTTTTACGGGTATATTGCTCTTTCTTTTTCTTTGTCTCTCTTGATCTCTCTCTCTCTCTCTTTCTCTCTCTCTCTCTCTCTCTCTCTCTTTCTTTCTTTCTCGGTTTCTTTCTCTTTTATTTTGTTTTCTATTTTCTTTACCTTTACTTTACTAATTTGTAAACTTAGATATTTCCAAAAGCTCCAAAACTTCAAGCTAGCCAAGCTACGTTAGCTCGCCAGGATACTATTGATGAAGGAGGCGAAGTGGAATCGTCACCGCCGAGCCGTGATAGCAGAGTAGTTATAGAAGGTAGCAGTACTCCATCGGCCGGTAATATACCCAAAGATCGAACTTTGGCCTTGGAGAAGGAGCGCCAAATTGAAATGGCTTCATCGCGTGCCACCACGTCAGACACTTACGATACTGGATTAAGGGAACAACCACCCACGTTAGCTCAGCGAGACTTAATAGCCACCGTTTTAGATCTTAAGGTGGATGTTCGCTTGGAGTTGCAACGCATGCAACAGCGGATTGGACGCATCGAAGACATGCTGGGCGAATTAGTGAAACGTTTACAGCAAGATTCTTCAGGACAAACTACACCCGGTGATGATAATATTTGTGTGTGCGGCGGCAGCGGCGGTGGTGGCAGTAGTGGTATAGGTGGGGGCGGCAATGCTATGATGGCGGCCAGTAGCAGCAGTGGCGGGGGCTTAGTTGGTAGACGCTCCGAGGGGGGTGCAATTACTCATTCGAACGCCCCGACTCCAGCTGCCGACACTGTGATAACCATTTCCACGGTTGGCAGCAGTGCTGCAACTTTGGCTACTACGGCGGCTGTAAACGCCACCTCGCTCACTACAGTTCAACCGGCAGCAACGGCAGTAGCAAGTTCAACAAATCTGCTGAATCCCGTGCAGATGGTCACCAGTTCGGGTGGCAATGGCCTAGGGCCGTTAATGCTCAAAAAGCGACGTTCGAAGAGCAGGAAGGCACCCGCGCCTCCCAAGCAGGCCCATCCGCAAACTGCTGCCGCGGCCGCTATCTCTGTTCAGAGTCCCGAACAGCAACGGCTACTCGAAGAGGATCCAACGGCCGCCTCAACCGCTGTGGCCACCACTGCTGTGGTTAGTACTAACACACCCAGCGGCACTGGCGGAGCCATTACATCAACAACAATAACAACAACTGGCTCCAGTTCAGCAACTTCCGGAGGACGCACGAAACGTGAATTTCTCTAGCCAAAAATTCTAGTACGCCATCAGTCCGATAACAGCAGCTTCGAACAGTAATAGCAATCTAAAGCCCCTTCAAACGCTTCAATGCTGTTGGCGTGCATTTCTCTAATTTCGCTTTTGAATTGAAAAACGTAAAAATTTGAAACAAAAAACAAAACAAAAAAAGAAAGAAGAAAACAAACAAACAAATAACAAAAATAAAAACAAAAAACAAAAACCTAAAGACATAAGCGAGAAAAAAAAGAACAAAGAAAAAAAAAAAAAAAAAACAAGTGTAAACTCATTTGAAGCATATTGCTTGAAGAAATTTTTGCTATTTACTTAACTTACATAATATTTGTGATAAACATCATTAAAACACACATTAATGCATACAAAAAAACTGAAACAAAAAAAAAAAGGAAAAAGAAAACCTATTGTAACACATATAAAATGAAAAATATATCCAGGAAACCTTTTTGGTTTTATATATAACTTAAGTTGAATGATATATATTAACATTAAAAGAGGACGGACGTAACTCCATAATTAGCTATTGAATTGATACACATTTTCTTCACATTTCTATTGATTTTCAAAAATTAATAAGTGTAAACGATTTCAATCAGTTATACGGATCGCTTGAAAACTGAAAAACAACGATTAAGAAATTGGAAAGTAAACGTAAAAGCGAAAAAGCAAACTGAAACTCCTTGAATCGATTACAGACCGAACTTTCAACACAAATTGATAACAAATTTTCAGAATCGCTCCCTTTGTTCAAAACATATTTGATCTCCCTTAGAACCCGGTTCAAGCCGTCGAAGATTCTATGCATTTTCAAAGCTTAGTGCATGCAATGCATTTCGCAATTCGTGGCGAATGCTTTCGAGTGTCATTAAAACTTTTGAAATCATTTCCAATTTAAATAAAAATTCACTTAGCCACTCACCGCTAACAGTACTTTTAAGTTTCCCCATTTCATAAATTATAGACTTATGTTTTCAACTTTATTAGCTAAGATTTCTTTTTCTCTTCCCTTTAAACAGTTTTCGTTTTCAATGTGTTTGTCGTTTTTGTGAACGTGGTGAAAGGGGAATACGCGTAATTATATTTCAATTCTCTATCCCCATAGATATACATCCCGCATAAGTTGTGGTGAAAGGATATATTAAGCTTATGGAGATGTATGCGGCACTCAGAAGGACTTGAGTAAGACCCATCTTTTATTATGCCGATCAATTTAGAATCACTTTTTGAATTGATTGATTTGATTTTATATGTCCATCTGTCCGTCTGTCCGTCTGTCCTTACCCACACGTTTTGACCTCACGACATCAAAATAGCTCAGATCGGGCCATTTTTTCGATCACTTTGCCCTATAAAACTCTTTTATGAAAAGTCATTATATTTTTAATTGCAAATGGTGTAGGGTACTAAATGATGTGCCGTAGTCGACCATAATGTTTTTATTTGTTCATTGTGTAAATTATTACCCTTTTATTCGGTTTTTCAATCAGACTTAGCCTTAACACAATCAATTGCGTACATATATATATATATATATATAAAGATCCGAGTATCCCAAGTGAAGTCACTTTAGTCTCTACACTGTGTGATTAATTACATGGAAGAAACCTATCTACCTGATCAGAGATCCGTTGATTGGTTGTTTTTCTTTAATGGATTAAAGCAAAAATTGCATATATATTCGCAACACTACTTATGAAGATTTCGTTAAACTAATTGAAACCAATTTAAAAAAAAAAAAAAAAAAAAAAACAACAACAACAACAAAAACACATTTAAAATTAAAATTAAATACAAATTAAAAAACCAAAAAAAAGGAAAAAAGAAAAGTAAATAAATAAAAAGAGAACAACTACAACAAAAATCTTAACAATAATTACTGCCACAAGGAATAGGAGATAAAAAAAGACAACAAAAACAAAAGAATTGAAGAAAAATTAAAAAGAAAAAAAATCCTAAAAATCAAATTAAAAATGAAATATAACTAAAGCGATTTATTTCTTCAAAACCCGTCCTTTTCATACACAAAATTTATTAATAATAAATTTTGTGTAAGTAATAAAATAAATAAATTGCGAATAACATACACCTAAACATACATAATTAATTAATTAAATTATTCATAAAAATAAAAAATGTTTTTCTTTTTTTTTTTTTAATGAATATATTTTAAGATAGTTACAAAAAGCAAAAGCAATAAATTATGTAAAAAAATATTCAAAAATTAATGAATTAAAATAAATTTATTAGTTAAATAACTTAATATATATATATATATATATATATATATATATATATATATATATATATAATTTAGCAAATGATTAGTGTTAACTTTAAATTATTAAGAGAGTAACAAAAAGCGTAGAAATCAATAATGAAAAAACAAATAAAAAATGAAAAACGAAAACTACTAAAGCATAGAATCGTTACAAGCAAACAGACGACAATCGCTGTAAATGGCAGAAATATAAGGAAAAACACAAAAAAATGTTAATATTAGTAATAACAATAATAACAATGAATAAAAAGGAAAAAGAAAAACTAAAAATATGTTATAAAATTTCGAAAATTTTTATTCGAAATTTTTCGACTTTTTTTGGTTCACAATAAGACTTTAGCGAAACCAGTTTTTATTCTTGCCAAACCACCCCAACTCCTCCCTTATACACCGATAACTAAGTTGAGCTTAATTTTTTTGCTATACATTTAAATATACAAAAGGATTTATTTCATTTTTACTATTACTGAAGCTTTTTAGCAAATTTGTAAATATATTTATATATATGTATATATATATGTATATATATATATATGTATATATATATTTATATATATATGTATATGAATACATGTATAATCAATTTATTCTTAATTTTTATAACAAAAACGCTGTCTACAACAAAAGGTTTCATAAGAAAACTACGCTAAGCTATGTAAACATTACGATAAACATATATATATTTTTTTTTTTCCTTTTTCTATGTGTACATACATATGCATAAATAATTTTCACAATTTTTGTTTCTTTTTTACCCAAAAATTCTTAGCAGCCATTTAGAGAGCTTTTTCATTTCATTAAATTATGTTTCATATCCATATAATGATATCAAGGCCGTAAAAGTATGATCAGAAAATTAATTTAAAAAAAAAAAAAAAAAAAAAAAAAAAAAAATATTAAAAAAAATTTTTTTTATTGACCAGTGGTTTAAAAATTATATGCGTAGTGAATTTTCGTTATAATTTAACAACAAACACGAGTGATGGACATCAGGAATTGTATTAAGTATGTATCGTCTCAAAATCTTCCCAGGAATCATTAAAAATAAAACATTTATTAGTTAATCATTGAGTTTTTTTGTTTCATTTTGATGCAACAATTATTGTAATCGCATGATTGACATAACGTTCATAATGCTTTTATATCATTAAAATAGTGCATGAATGAATGAATCGTTGTTAATTGTCAGATTAACTTAACTCAAGTGACGAAATTCCATTTAAAAATTACAAATTGACACTTCTCTGATATATGATTAATCAAAATAAAGAACTTATTGCAGATGGATATTATTTTGTAACAATGTTTTTATAAGTTCAAACTGAGACGAATGCTCAATTCGTTTTCATAGCATCATCATCATCAAATAAAAATCTTCAGGAGCGAATCTATATTTTTCGCTTGTCTCCAAGAATTGTTACATAAAATGAGGAAGAAAACAAGTGCAAAATGCTATAGTTGGATGCGGCCGACATTACTTCGCTTATTACAGTTGTTTACATAACGACTTTTCAGAATAAAGCTTTACAGAGAGAATGATCGAAAAAGTGCTCGGATCCTAGAAACTAGTTTCAAAAGCGCACGTTAATTAGGCCGAAAGACATCAGTGTAGCAAGCTTGATAGCAATATATCAAAAATTGCAATCTGTAAGTTGAACACAAGGAAACATGACAGACAGACAGACAGATGAATGGACGGACAGGCGGATATACAACCTTGCATCAATGCAAAAAATGTTTCTGAATCGATCGGTATAATAAAAGGACCCTTAAATCATGCCGGATATTGTATACATACTTATGGGTGTACATGCATACATACAAACTTAATATAGCCTTAGTTGGAGACAATGTTTGATGTTAATCAGATCAGACTAACCTATTATTTACATTGCAAAAGATTTTGTGAATTAATGTTGGCTTGTCGAATAGTCGACGAGAACCATTCTCTCTCTCTCTCACTCTCTCTCTCTCTCCACTTTCTTCTTTTAATAGGAGCAGCTGTGCAAATTATTGGAATTGACCTCCGAACATCAATTGAAAAGGCTTATGTCAAATTTTATTTTTGCGTCGCAACTCATTCGGAAATGAACGTGCCAAAACTCGACGACAAGTTAATAGACAGATGAAAGAACTAGATTACATTGATGCAAAATCTGATACCAATCAAAAATATCTAGAGAGAATATATTATTGGCTTAATGAAGGCGAAAGAATCTAGGGCAATAAAGCTCTTTCGGGTTAAATATAAAAGAAATCCATCAAGTCTGAATGTCAAACGAAAAATCGAATTCTTATAAGCATTGCATGCATTTTACATTTGACTGAAGTTGTCCCCTTAATCTTGTCCTCTTTACAGTTCTCTAAACATGAATTAATATTTGCTATCTCTTTTCGATAACTTTGAAGTAAAGTATCATCTATCTGTTAACGTATAAAATGATAGCATAATCTTAGGAGTTGTTTTCTTTTATAAGTGAAACAATAAACTTTGCCATCGTTTTTAGCTCAATTCAATTTTATTGCTATTTGCTGATAATGCATTGTTTTCGATTTTTACGCTATTCCAATCATATATATTATACCCGTATAAATGCGAAAATTTATATCCTCTCTTTACTTTTTATTATATATTTTTTACTACTAAAAGATTTTAAGCCATTCTCTTCATGTTCGTCCCTCCGTACTCTCTGTTCTTGAAGTTTTGACAATTTCGAAAAATTAGATGCAGTACTAGAGACTATTAGATAAACGTTACATAATATTATACACAAACTTTTGTACCAATTTTGAATCCGATTTTGTTTGGCTTGTAAGGACATCTAACATTGCCAAAACAACCAAAATGCTTATATGTTATCATCAATAATATGAAGACGATATCGGATAACATTCCAAAATCTTGCACATATATTTAATCGATTTATTTCAAAAATTTGATATACAAATTTTTTAAATTGTAAGAATTTATTGTTCGCCCTCAGGCGATTCGTAATTTTGTCTGCAATATATATAGCTTTTCATTAATGTTTTTCAAATTAATATTTTTAGCGCTACTGTTGCACTTTACATGTAAAATCATTTACAACTCCTTTGTTTCATTTTTGTATTCTCTATACTTAATAAGGCGTAAAATAATCTATCGGAAACTCATTAACTATAAATATCGTTGACTTTTAATCAGTCAAATGCTTGCTATATATGTGATGTTGCTTGAATAATAATATTTTTTTTTTTAACACATGTTTTATATAGAAATACGTGAAACAAAAAGTAGATACATTAGCTCTGGCTTAGGATATATTATACTTGGCTATGGGTAGGTTATGTTAAACGTGTGTATGTGCGCGTGTCTTTCTACATCAAGTTTCGAATATACCGCAATATTTTTCACAGCGAGTGCAGTATATATGCCAAGATTAGTTTTCAGACGAATGTCGAAATCGGTTTAGATATGACTAGCTCTGATCCGTGTATTTATGAAGATTTAATAAATAAATAAAAATCGATTTTAAATTTTTTTTCTTCTAATAATACGTTTCTATTCTATAAAATATTTTCCCTAATGGATATATCATCGAATAGATTATATTACTCTGCGTAGATATTATTGAGAATGAGACGTATGTATGTAATGCCTTGGTTTTATTGTATATAGAATTTGTAACATACCTATATATATCTAACGGCGCAGTTGCTCGCAAGCAATGCGGATATATATGTTAAATTGCAATTGTTAAATCCAATACTTACGCTTCCATAGCATGTTACATTAACAGAGGTGCATTTGTGAAACGATAAAATTAAATAAGCAAGCAATTGTTAAGAATACTAAGAATCCGTGCTACGAAGGATACGACTTCTTTTGTCTGTCATATTTTTTTACAAATTTCGTTCGTATATATATATATATATATATATATATATATATATATGTCCACATATAAATGTATTAAGGTTTGAAATTAGAGTCATTTATTTATATATATATATATATATATATATATATATATATATGTATTCAGTTTATTTAAATTTTATTTGATATTTTCTTATAAGCAATAAACTATTACAGAAAATTGGAAACAAAACCTAAATATTCATAATTATTCTAAGACTCTTGTAAATTCCTAAATATGTATATACTGTAAATTATATTTTAAATAAGCAAAAATCATATATATATATATACATATACATATGTATATATATAGCATTTCTGGCAAAAATAAATAAACTGCAGCTAAACAGAGAAAAAGAAAATATTCACAAGAAAGCCTTACAAAGAAAAATATAAATAAATGAAAAAAAAAAAAAACAAAGGAAAAGAAAAGAGAAGAAAAAATATATATAAAACAAATCGAAATCTTGGAAAAATTTATTTAAAAAAATCCATAAAAATATGTGCAATTAAAACAAATTATTATTAAAAGCCGCAAAAACAGCCTACCAAAGAATTTAGGAATTGTTAACAGAAAAAAACAACAAAAATCTGCTTTCCTTGGAAAAAAACAACAATCGGGTATATAAATATATATACATATATAAAAATACATATACAAGTGTATGTATGTATATATATATAAATGTATATATATATATATATATATATATATATATATATATATGCATATGCATATATGGTATATATATATATTTATATATATAGGTACATACATATACATAATAAAGCAACAATTTATGTCTAAAAATTTGCTTGAAAAGCTAAAGCAAAATTTAAAAAAAAAAAATATATATATTGATCAAACAAACCAGCTTTTATACGCAATTTTAACTTTTAAACTAAAAAAAAAAAACAAGGATAAACAATAATTCAACTAAACACCAATTACAAAAAATTATCAAAAAAAAAAAAAATAAAATAATAATAGCAAAAAATTTAGAAAAAACAAAAATATATAAAAGAAACTAAAAGAATTCAAAATCTAAACCCGTCATATAAACTGAGGAACCAATCAATATTTTATCAACATTTTTATTTAACCATATTTTTATTTACATAAATTCGTACCTTATTAAATTATTTTAAATTTTCGCAACATTTTATTCTTTTCTAAAATATACTTTAGCAAAAGATAAAATAAAATTTTAAGGCAATTTTCCAAAAATAAAACAAAAAAAAAAAAAAAAAAAAAATTCATGCAAATGCTGTATCATATTAATTACCATAGTAAAGTTATAATAATATTAAATAATAATTACAAAAAATTAATACAGAAATAAAAAAAAAAAATAAAATATAAAAAAAACTCTGACAACTGAAGACAAATATATTAATAATGATATGTTTTCTAAATATAAATAATTTTAAAAGTTAT